TATAAACAAAGCTTTTGATTCGTCGAGAAAACAAAAGAACATGGGTTTTTGACCAATCAAAAGCGATGGCTCAAGTGGGCCGATCTAATCGACCCTTGGCAAAACTACGCATTTGTCGCGCGGGCCGATTAGATCGGCTCTTGGTAGTTTATTTTGTTTCACTGTTTTAATGAATTTACTCATTATACTTGAGTTTGACTCAGCTAATAGTTATGATTGTAGAGTTAATTTCAATTTCTTTGCTTAGAAAAGTTAAGACAAGCACGAAGTACCTAAAGGAAAGAGCTTTACAGCTTGAGAAACAGCTAAARATTGCTAACGAGTAAGTCARAGTTWAGATGTCCTTATYAACCAATCASAAAGTCMATTTCTAAWCTACGATGGGCTACCTGTGGTTTCCCTACTTTTCACAGATACATGAATCAACTTCTTGAGGAAGAGGAACCCAGACCTCCGTCGCTACAAACTCTGTCTACAGATGTCGATAGTGTTTCTTTGCTGTCGCTTGACTTTGGCATCGATAGTGGTGTAGACGTAACGTCCACTGATAATAACGACCAGAAATCTTTGGTTTGGATAAGAGAACGRAATATCGCGCTAGAAGAAAACATGAGGTACATATGCACCCCTTTGGGGGTGGGAAGGGTGTTTTTTTTTTTTGCAATGTTAACAGTTACACCGCAACCTACAGGGGGTAGGGTACGTACAATTTTTCGAAAAAGYCAGTCAAAACACTCCAAATCAATAGACCTCTGCAGCTTTTACGTCATGTACCGTGTACGCAATGCATTGTAGGATATGTTTAATAATAATAATAATAATCTAAGCTTATAAAGCGCTTATAAAACTTTTTCTAAGCGCAAATAAAAAGGTAAAAATTAAGATATTAAGAAAGTTAAAATAGAGTTACAGATCATAAGTTTGTTTAAAAAGGAAGGTTTTGAGAGCAGTTTTAAAATTGTCAAGTGAAGAAATGTCTCTGATTGAAGATGGCAGTGAATTCCATAGAAAAGGTCCAGCAACACTAAAAGAACGATAACCATAACTTTTAAGATTGTAAGACTTGGAAGACAGTAACAGTTGAGACGACGAACGAAGACAACGAGAAGGACGATAGTTTTTAAGCATATCTTGAACATAAACAGGAGCCAGGCCATGAAGAGCTTTAAAAGTYAGAAGGAGAATTTTAAACTTGATACGTGCGGAGACAGGAAGCCAGTGAAGATTGATAAGCAGAGGTGTAATGTGGTCATGTTTTTTAGAAAATGTTTGGGACAGAACATGGCGGATTTCTTTTGTTTTCTCTTGAAATTGATCCCACAATGCATTGAAAATCAAGTAGTGACGTAGAAGGTTCAGAGGTCTATAGAAGACTATAATTCCAATATTACAAAGCAGTTGCGATGGTAATAGTCACAAATATAATCTTCTGAATTCGTTGGAATTCGTTTTTCTTTCTTCGACATCTGTTCAAATTTATCTAACCAACCTCGTTCCCAGGCACTTATCTCTTCGTTCAGTTCGTTTGGGGTCAAAACGAGGTTGAAGTTGAACCACCGTATTATATTAACGTCATTAAGACTTTGATTCATAATATGAACTGTGCAATTTTTCTTGTCGTCAGGCAACTCAATGCAAGGAAGGAAGATATACAGSAAAACATCCAACAAGGTCGCACCAAACTAGACCACATTACTACCATCGCTCAATCTTACAGATTTCGCCATTTTCTCCTTAAAAATCCTGTCGATGTATGGAGGGTGAAGTCAAGCACCTTCTAGATTATTACCTGTTGTAAATTAAGTCATTTGTAAAATCCCTGACATTATTATATCCGTTACATCATTGCTCATTTTGACATCTACGATCGTTTGCGTGGTAATCGTACATGACAATATGCGGATTGAGAGAATATCCGGTTACGTGTAAATGTAGTCTGAGTTAATGCTTGTTAGTACTAATTAAACAAAAGAAGGGATGCATTAATTACGGGAATTTCAATGAAAGCTATTTGAGAACAAGTCATTTCATTTGGCAACAAAACAAATTACCAACAATCTGACATGGATAAGACGGCAGAATACAAGGTGCTACCAAAACATGAGGTATATGAAATGAGAGGGCAAGTTTATGTCGTAAAACGTAGGTACTCCGCTGAGTATAAAAATTATGTCCCCAGGCATTGATGACTAATCATGATTCTTTGCGTGAAAATCGTACATAACAATATGGGGATTGAGAGGTTGGTCGGTTACCTGTAAATGTATAGGCTGAGTTTAATGCTTGATAGTACTAATTAAACAAAAGAAGGGATACATTAATTGCGGGAATTTTGAAAGGCTATTTGAATACAGGTGATTTCATTTGGCAACAAAACAAGTGTTTAAAAATCTGGCATGGATAAGAGAGCATAATAATCTGGTACGACAAATGTACATGAAATGAGGGGGCAAGTTTATGTCGTAAAACGTGCCTATGGCCTCGGCTGAGTATCGAAATATGGCACCTAAATACATGTGATAATTAAAGACCGCGAAGATACCTGCGATTTTTATCTCTAAAAGATTTTAATTAAACAAACTCATTCTCATTATTCTTGGGCTTTTTTACCATCACAAAGGGCCAAATCATTGAACTGAAAAGATTTCAATCAAAGGATTTAATGAAGTGCAYAAATGAAAACGCGTTCGTCAAGGATATTTTCCCGCCTTTTTCARAGCTYGAGCTCTACATATTGGCACATACTACAGACAGCTCGAGAAAGCGAGTGATGYTTGGGTRCGAATTAARAGTAGAGCTCAATGATAGTAGCTAATTACGTCCCCAAAATCATCGCACTACCGGCAATCTAAGTGTTAATGATTTCCATRTWAGGAGAGYCATGAATCTGTGCGATAATCTTCAYTGATATAAYTATACACAYGTTATCGGAASGTTTACAGTTGATTTGAGAGAAGCAAAGAGTGAGTATCATTACATTGCCAACAGTTATTTTCTTAGTTTGTTGAATTCTCAGAAAGAAGAACTGACTTGCTGAGTTTATATCTTACTTCAATTTTTTCAGGTTTTTTTTCTGTCACTTGGATTTACTGGATTGAGGCATGTTTCGAGTTGTCTTCCTTGYGTGTCTTGTTTTCGCGGTTGCTTCGTCTGCATATGGCCGCAGTAAGTATCGTTGAAGAAAAGTTAGATAAGTGAAAATAAGTCTCATATTGTATGCGTGTTTTCTGTACATTTTTAGTCGCTTACARCAAATGCGACGTTAGTGTGGGTGCACGGAGACAGTGCCTTTGGAAGGGCGCTTCCTATAGAAAATGTAAAGTAAGAGGATGCTGCTAGAGTTGGGGAAAATGTTACTTTGGTGGAGAACGTAAGCTATTGCTGGTTATTTATATCATTGACTGGATCCTTAACGTAAGAAAGAGGATATRTAACTGAAGAATATCAATTTGTGGATAGACATAGGACTGCAAAAAATGAATTTTCATTGAATANATGTAAATTTACCGTATGCAAATTATCCCGACCATAATTCGTGTTCACTTCGTTCTTATATATTAATTATTTAGTGAAATGCTAATGAGAAATTGTTTAAATACTAGAAAAAAAGGAGTGCAACCAAGCGAATTCACTCGTGGCGTAACCGGTTAGGTTTAGGGTTAATGATCGGATAGGTCATATTTAGGGTTCGCAGGTTCGAATCTTATCTGCGGGATCAATTTTTTTTCTAAGTGAGGATAACCAAAAACCTCAAAATATTTCTAAGTCCCACTCGTGTGTTCGGAAACATATGACGTACTTGGTTACCCGCTACACGACGATACTACCCTAAAAACCTGCCTGCCAGCGCCCTTGATATACACGTATTGTGATCAGCTCCATTCTGATCATATGACAAGACTGATTTAATCCTAATTCAAACCAACTGAAAAAGCATTATTTGCGATCAACTCTAGAATATTATGCATGATTTGTCCGTTTTTGTAATTTTCTCGATTATAATTTACGTGGCTTTTGTGTCCAGTGCCATTAAGCCATTAGCTATGCGGGAACCTTTTGTCAGTCTTTGAATACGTTTTGACCAAGGCAGGAATTTCATTTGTAGGTCACTTAATCATATTGATCAATCTCATCATAGCCATCTGTAGCGGAACCAAGTCATGTGGTCGTGGACGGAATTTGTCAAAAAGGGATTGTCGTGACTATCGTTATAATGACTGCTGTTACAACGCGGCTAGGAGAGAATGTTACCAATTAAAGTACATAGTCGATTAAAACGACGTTGATAGATAGTAAGTATTAGTCCTTACTAACTACAATCGTTGCCAAAAAACTTTGGACCATAGAATTATTCGTCTCCAGCCTAACATCCCTGCTTTCCTTTTACACGGTTCTCCTCCATAGCCCCATTTCATCAATGTTTGGTGTTGGGTCTTGTTTTGGATGGTTGTGTACTATGGTACATGCTTAATGACAACATTGCATTTAGGGGGTCAGGGGGGATGGAATTGTCTGCGGATGTTGCTTAAAGTGAGAAAACTCGCTGGAATGGTCCAAGGATTGTCAGCGATTGTAGATTGCAAAGAGCTCTACATATAGAAATCTCTAAAATCAAAGAAGGAGGGGAGGTGTGGGGAATTGATCCAAATTTTAAAAAGGACGTTCCACTGTTACTTCAACCCTTGGAAATACCCTCTGCACACGCTCCTGGGCAAATAAAGTATTTTGAGTATTTTAGCGATGATCCTATACTCTAATGACGCATATTCTTAGCGTTCTATGTGGTGTTTAAAGAGTTTATTGATAAAATACAATTTTGTTTTTGATTTTGTAGTGTGGCAACAGACAGGGCTAATGTAGTAGCGTCAGAAATGTTTGGACTGTTGTACAAATAGAAAAATAAAATGATATTTCAACCTATGAAAATGCCTGTTTATTTATATTCAAACGAAATAAGTAATATATAGGTCAATTAACATTTTTAATTGTAGTGTATATTAGGTCAATTGCCATTTTTAATTGTGGTGTTAATAAACCTCAGTGAAATAGATCGTTTTCAGTCAGTSCAAAGAGAGATTCAAAAGATAAAAGACCAGCGGCCATTTTGAATGAACAATAGATACTAATAAGAAATCCTTTGTTGAAGTTCATCCAAGATGGCCGCTCCTGATGTATATTGAAAACGAATAATACACTTTAACATCCTACTTATTATTACTCTTTATTTTGCCTGACTAAAGACATCTCAAAGCTCAAAGCTATATTCTAAAACCATATTTTGAAACACGAGCTTTACGTGAAAAATCGTATTAAAGATTTAAGGAGCAGGATACGAAAATGTGCTCAGAATAACAACGCGATATCATATCAATATAAATATATATACAAATCAATATATAATCGTAGTATAGATACGAATCATTCTCTATTGTTTTAATCACAATTTGTCCCAATCAAAAAATCATTTCATCCAAAAAACACCCATGATATCACCACTAATGAAACAAAAGATAAACGATTTTGTCCTAATTTGCACGAATTTCAGTACAAACGGTCATTAATTGGATACAGTGAATGGACTTCACTGGGTGTTAATGATTTCCATATAAGGAGACCCATGAATCTCTGCGTTCGTCAATACTCCGTGGTAATATCATCATTAAGGTGAACAGTCACTTGATTTGTTTGGCGGGGAAGAAAAGAGGTCTTAAGGTAAGCTTCTATGATAAATTTATCCATATTCTCTCAGCAAAGTACAATTGAAATTTTAGGCATTTTTGCCGCCATGTAGCAGAACATCTTTCTGCACTGTTCCACAAAGCTTTGTCAAGCCAGGCGAAAACTCTTGCGGTCTCATGTATAGAAAGGCGAATTTTAAAAATCGAATTTAAATCAAGCATTGGRCGCCATCCTCTGATATCACTCAATGATGGAACGGCTAAAAGTTTTTTCTCCTTTTTTTTGTAGATTTTTTCCAATTGAATCGGAGAACATGCTTCGAGTACTATTTCTTGCGAGTGTGACTTTCGCAGTTGCTTGGAGTTCATGTAAGTAAAGTTAGCCAGGTCGACAAGAAAAACGTGTTCTGTAGTGCACCACGTACTGTACGTTTRCGTTTTTGTGGCTACTCATGTCATTAAGATGCTGAAACACTATGTTGCAAATGAAGTAGGTTAGTCCGTAACCATTTTCGGTAAAACTTTGCATTCGTGTCGGATGAATTTCGTGGTTATTTCGTTTATCTTGTCGGTCGATATGAACCAGTCCCACTCCTAGCTCCTTAGAAATGATCAATTTTGCGCTGTTGTAGTTACTTACAAACCGTGCCAAGTGAGCACTGACGCAATGAGACCATGTCTTGGAGGTGATGCCAGCTTTTTGAATTGCATGATGGAAGGATGTTGCTACAGGGAC